CACACACACACACACAGCCAGCCCCTTCCTTAAGTGAGTACAATGTTAAACAAGGAAAAAGAAATTAAAAGAAAATCATCTTTCACTTACAAATCCTTCTGTGTTTGCAACATTGAGATGTCAGGCCCAACAGTTAAGTTAAATTTCTTCATTTTTTTGAACACACAGCAGAATAAACATTGTTTGGAAGCAAGGTCTCCTGGTGGCAAGTCAAATGTTCAGAGGTCACATTTCTTTTTTTTTTTGTTGTCGTTTGTTTGTGTATCGTATTTTCTTGCCGTTTTCGACAGCTTAGTCCTGCTTGGCCTGAAGCTGCTGCTTCCAGGCCTCATTCAAGTAAACCAGTCGCTTGTAGTTGAGAATAAAGAGAATGAAGTTCAGCGCATATGTGGTGATGCAGATGATGCAGAAGTCCTTTAGGACAAAGTAGAGGATGTAGCCCAGGTAGAGCGAACCCACCACCGACAAGATGGATGTCGTCATGAGAATTAGGGCAGCCATTGCACTGACAGTCATTCCTACAGCAAGAAACACAAACTAAAGCTTAGACAAATAAATAAAGACTTTAAAAAAAGACAACTTTGGAACACACAAGCAACCTGATGACTGTGCTTTCGGCCTCAGACAGTTCTCTATTTATGTTACCAGAAGCCTCGTGATGACATTTAAACACCGAGTAGACTGGTGATATTATTCTGTTGTCACATGAGGTGCAGTCATAGTTCTAAGGCAGAGTTTCCCCACAGTTGGTGCTTGTGATATTTCATTAGGTTTGTAACAATTACTGCTAAACAACAGGCAAGGATTCTCTATGGCTACCAAATGTTATCATGTACCTTGTCATTACACATGTATATGATGCAGTTGGGTCCAGTTCTGGAAAGTAACTTAAGTACAGGTACTCAAGTGCTATTGTACTTTTAAAGCGTTTCTTACTAGTAACTGTGCAAATACAGAAAACAAAATTCAATCAACAAATAAATTGTGGTGTATTATTATAGATTAACCAGCTGTATATAAAATAGTTGAAATCAGTCCCACCATCATCAGCTGCAACATTAAAGTGATGTACACATCAATACAATAACTGTTAATATAATCCAATACTATAATAAACATTATGCTGAAAAGGAATTTGGTAATATTACTTAACTGTTACCACCTGAGAACCCCAGTGGTAGAATACAGGTACCTCCTGTATTACAGTTACAAAGTACAACTAGAGTACCAAAATAGTTATTTGAACATTATTAGAATAATGTTTATTATATAATTAAATTACAACGAGCATTGTAATAATGTGTACATCACTTAAACCACTACCAGACATTTATTCAGTTTGTGTTCTTATAGACAAGGTCTTTTGCCACGAGAGATAACTAGAACACACTGGCCATGAAGTTTAAGCTCTGTAATTATTGATGTCTCTGAGTGAATTAGACCATGTTGGATTTCCCCTACCAGGACTGCTTCACGGAAGTATCATATTTCTATGATGTTTGCATTAATGTGATAAAGCACTTTGATTTGTCAGGTATTTCATTTTCCGCACCATCAAAAAACATTATTGCCTGATTATTCTTCCCATTAACGTTCTTTCTTAATAATCTTTCCAGAAAATTTACTATATCGTGATATCTTTCCATATTGCAATACAAAATGACATATAGCAGGATATACAGAGGGATATGGATATATTTTATAAATATTACCCACCCCTTTTCTCTTTATAACACTAAATTACAATACAGGAAAATATCATGGGGAAAGGCTATAACTATAGCATTCATTTCATGTGGATAAGAACAGTGAAGTCCCATGCTGCACACTGGCATTAATCAGAGATTAAAGCCTCTGTAATACTGATTCTGGAGTCATGCCTACACACAAATATTGGACAGTCCAAGGCCATGAGACTAATGAAAGTTCGGGAACCGAGTGGTCTTGCCTTTAATATGGAAATCTTGAGCCGCTGTAGCAGTTTGGCAGAACTGGGCTGCTATTGTGTTAGTCAAATGAGTGCTAACTGCTGTGCCTAAAAGGACCTCTTGTTCTGTGCCAGCACCAGGTGGCCAGGCAAGCCTACAGGCCACTCGGCAGGCAAACATGTCAAACCAGCATGACTGAGTCAGCAATGCCATCAATGTACTGAGGGGAGGAGAATTTGACTGCGAAAGTAACCAAAAGGGGCAAAACTTTAAAGTTTAAACAAGTCACTTTATGATCAGTCAGGACTGTCAGACTGGGACAAGCACAGCATTAATAAGAGTCAACCTTAAAGAAATGAAGCCATTCTTACTCCACTACACTGTTACCTAGGCAGTCTTAGTAGTAACTCCTTTATATTGAGTTAAAACAGTATACTGACATTTACACATGACCACTAAATATGTTTTATGTGAGGCAAATACAGCCACGAGAGGCCGAGTTAAGCAACACTAATTGCTGCTAGTACAATGGTCAGAGAGATCTGTCGCCTGAATATACTAATATATTGCATATACTGACAGATTACTCAATGAAACAACGTCTTACCTAGTAGAAGCTGGAAGGCATAAAAGACAATCCCGTAGACACTGTTGGGTTGGTTCAGTGCACTGTCATTTCCAAAAATTGAGCCCAAGAGTCCAAATCCTCGACCCCACCTAAACCACACAAAAACATCAGCAAAGAAAACTTTATTTCAAGAGTGAAGACGAAAACTGTGGCATACTAAACAGACTGGACCACAGCCGAGGCCTATCAAAGTCCAATGAGTCACAATAAAGGTTTTTTTTTAAAGATTTAAAAAAGAAGAAAAAAAGTTCCCCAGAAAGTTTGTTTTCTAGGAACCTAAAGTACCAGCTGGGTGAGTTTGTTTTTTAAGCAAAATGTTGTTTAAGGACAGATATATTATAGTATTAAAGAATGTTAGGGTTCCGTTAACTAAAGCTGGAACTAATTATTCTTTTCATTATCGATTAATCTGCCAGTTGTTTTCTTGATTGTTTCGTCTACAAAATGGTAAAAAAAGAAATGTCCATCACAGTTCCCCAGAGTTTGAGGTGATCCTCCAAATTTCTGTTGATTAACTAATCAATTAATTGATGACTTTTTGAGAAGGAGAAAACAAATGAAACAAAAAAAAGAAGCATTTCTGTATTGGAATAAATCACATCTGGACAATCATGACTCGAGTACTTCAGTGCATGTGACACATAGGAGCCCGTCAAAGACAACCCCTGTATTGAGTTTGTCTGATTATAAAAGACAAAGAGTTTAATTTGCATTAACTTCGGTGGCACAACAGCTGGCACTAGTGAAATACTCCTGTCCCCACCTGTTAGTACCACTATTCACCACTAAACCTATCAAACACGTTAGGTCTCATTCCTGTCTGAAGCATCTGCCCTGGTGTGAAGCCTTAAGTATGCGGAGAATCTATGCAAAACATGATTTTTGCTGTGCCGACAGGTTCATCAGCACACTAAGACAAGACATGCATTCCTTTAGCTTAATTAAAAACAGTACGAGTTTCACTCAGTGGGAATATGCAACTTATTTAACACGTTCAGTAATCATATTACTCTATTTCACATAGTCTGAAACAGCCTCTCTGTGCTACAGACGTGTTGGGTTTCATTTCTTGCACAATATAACACACCACGTTCAAGTTTCTTATTAGTTCTTTATCATTTTATATTTGGGGAGAACGACAGTAAGAGTTGGGATGATGCAAGTTTAAAAGCCATTTTAAATACCATGTGACAGTTATCTCTCAGTGTGCAATATGTTTAGCGATCTCATTTAATTTACCACTATGTGGGAGTTCATTCTCCTTGTGTGTAATAAATTATGTTTACATTGCAGACAGTCATGCTTTGCATTTTTTCCACTCCAGGGGGGATTCTGTGTTGTGTTTCAAGACTTCAACATATAAGCATTTGAGGAGGCATGCACAAAACATGCAGTTAAACATACATTAATTCAATAAGTTGCATCCCCAGGGTATTCACTTTGTCTTTGGCCCTTGATGGCATTGTTTACAGGGAAATAGAAACTGCAGGGGTTCTTCATTTAGAGAAAGGAAATTATGTCTTTCATTCAGTCATTGCTTCAGTGCTTTTTTAAAGACATTAGGTCATAACTAATCGCTCATAGCTTATTTAAGATGACAAAGGCGAGACTCTCTGATACTCAGAGAATCCTCTTACTCACCTTTCAAATATGTGATAACTCTTAGACAGGCTGCATTTAGACAGGCAGACTCTCAATCAGTGAGGTTGTAATAGGTGGGGGGAACTTTCATTAATAGCTGTATGCCCACAGTAAAGCTGGTATGACAACTTCACAGACTTGGTTTTGATCTTAAGAATGTAGATGGGTGTTACGTTAAACGACTGATTGCTTGCAAACTTATCTTTGTGGGTAAACCAACTCTTGTTTACTCACAGCTAAAGGAAGACAGTAGCCACAGCTTTATCTGAGCAGCTGTGGCAATGCATCTGTCTGATAACAATGTGTGACTGTGAGCAGCACTGAAACTCTCGGGTCGCTAACACTGTTACAGTCCTGTCCACTGACCTCTGCAGCAGGTCTGTCCCTTTAGGTGGGATGGGTGTAGGGTTTAACCCCTCGGACATTAGCACCACAGCTAATGGCAGCAGCGTGACAGATAAGGTGAGCGCTAGCAGGTTCAAAAGTTCCCCAAAATGATCAACACCGGGGCGGATAACCACCGACATACCCCCGCTCTGGTCGGCGGAATGAATGGCTCCATCCGGCAACAACACACAGGCGTTAGACCGAACAAGCTACCATCAACTTGTGTGCTAAAGTTGGTGTTACAGATGTGTTACCCTTGCAGACACACATGTAGTAACGTTAGTACGGCTGTCAGTGGATAATGAATCAGTGCTCTGTGCTGATAACTGGCTCACAAGTATAACGTTAACAAACGGGCTGCGTTAGCTAGCGGTCGCCGAAGTTAGCTTCATCGAGCTAAATAGCTAATGATGTGCTTATTGAACGATAAGCTAAAAGTTAACTTATTTCAGACCGGTTATTTAACAAGCAGCCAGCTCGCAGCACGCCAGCACTTCTAGTCTGAAGTTAGCCTTAGCGGTGGAGGGCAGCCGGTACATGTTAACGGAGAGCCTCTGACAGTTTGAACCGCGCAGCCCTTCCCAGGTCGCCACAATAGCAGCTTCATTGAGCGCTCTTTGCTGAATTCAAATTACCTTGAGCTGAACACTTTTGAACAGCTGATGGAGCTGCTGACGTCGCACATAGCCTTATAACTCGGATCCCGAGCCTTTTCCCTCTCGACGTGAAAGGCATATAGAGACAACAGTATGCCCAACAGGCAAACGAGAAGCCGAGCTATTCTTTCCCACCGAGGGGTGGACACTCTCAGGACGGGCGCCGCCATCACTCTCTGGCCTAGCTGGAGACACGCATACATACGCAGCGAGTTCGCCTGTGAGACACAACTGCGACGTGGAGACGCGTCAGGACGTGCCACACCGTGAGGGGCGGGCCGCTGGGCTCAGCAACCAAACAGTGCAGTACACTGAACATGGCTGTCTGTGCGGACACACTCCGACAGTACACGGTCTTCAACGCCACACGTTTTATGTTCTTTCTCTCATATTAGAGTTGTTGTTAATTAATGGGAACATACAACATGCCAGTAGCTCTATAACCTCACAATGTGCAGCGTGAAACCACATTAACCATATTTACCATAACTTATTTATATTTTCAAATCTCAACCACATTGCAGACACTAAAGCTTCCTAAACGTACTTTCTTACAAAATAATGGCGCGTTAGCGACATTGTTATGACAACCATTTTAATTTATAACATGGTTTTGATATGAATGATTAAGTTGTCATGCAAACACATAGCACACACTTTTAAAATATTCACAACACAAGAAAATAAAACAAACAAAAAGATCCAATCTTCACATGCGAGGACAGAACTTACATACCAAGTGAAATAACAAAGCAAATTATTATTAAAATAAAATTATAAATAGCAATATTTCCTAAATAACCTGCACAATATATTTATTAAAGCATATTATTAAAATCTCCACAGTCAAAAGCACCCAGTGACACAGTCGTGCTATCACGTGACTTCAAATATATAAACACAGGGTGACATCATCTGTTTACTCGCTCTGAGACTCCTGTGCTGCAAACTGCTGCAAACTGCTGCATTTCGTTCCCAAATGGCGACAGACATGGAAAGATTTGTTTCTTTCGAGGAAGCATATTACGATCAATATGACTATTACAATCTACTCGAGTACTCGTGTCACGCCTGCGGAAAGGGGCGAACCAAGAGGGAGATCGAGCTCAACACAAACCGCCATTGCCCCGCAGGACACGAGAGGAAGATAGCAGAAAAATTTCACAACAGCGAGATGAAACGCAGGAGAACCAAGAGCGCATCGTCCTGATGGCTTTCCTCGATGTTTACGGGTAACAATGTGCATCTGTTGTGTTTATACATAGTTGAAAAGTCGTATTTATTCAACAATCGGCCATTGTGTTAGGAAAAAAACACACTACCTCTTGCTATTTACATAACAAGATCCTGGCGATTAGTTGACTCCCATGAATGAGGTGAACAACGCCTGGCTTTGTGTTCAGGATCACTGTAATCGGTGCTTGAAAATTCAAGTTAGCTCAGCTCTACATATTAGGTCACTCTGCCATATGGATCAAGCATTTCCTCTGTAATGTTTTTGTCCCATTTATTCGGTTTGTATCATAATAAAACATTTTTTCCACAGGTGGAATAAGTGATAGGATATTCTGATGCCTTCAAATGTGAGCAGTTGTCACCATAACCCAGGCACTGAAAAAAATAGTTAAAATAGTACAGAAAATGAATAGGTGATAATTTAGATAATTGATTAATCGTTTAAGTAATGTTTTAATGCCAAACATTTGCTCCTTCCAGCTTCTCAAAAGTGAGGATGTTCAGTTTTTCACTGTGGTGTTTCGCTGTATATTGAATATCTGTGACTTGTAGATGGTTATTCAGATAAAACAAGCAAGAGGAATATGTCAATATGTTAATGGGCATATTTCACTATTTAGTGACATTTTACAGACCAAATGATTAATTGAGAAAACAATCTGCAGGTGATATGCTCGTTTACATTGCAGGACGTGACTTGCGGTGACCATTTAATTCTGATTTCCCCACAGATCTGAACACAATCTGGATTTCTGATGTTGATCGTGGCCAAGTGTCTCTGCCTTCCCTGACCCAGTGAATGGATTGCTGTGACAACGCAAATATGTCCTTTAATCAGTCATGAAACAGCTCTCCATCCCATTCTCTACCCTGTAACAAGACCTCCTGCTCTCAAGTTACAGCTGTGCAAGAATAGTTTGTGTTGAGCTATAATAGGTCAGTGGTTTATGCTTGATACACATACATAGTAATTTCTGTGGGTGCTTAAGATATTTTATTGTATTTTGATTCAATAAAAACTGATGTTAAGTAAACCACCTTGGATTGTTTTGTTTTCTATCCCTCATAACTGATAATAAAGACAGTTCTGTTGTGTTAGTGTTAAGTAGGCTGCATAACAGGTTTGTTTCTGTTTTGTTTTTACAATTTCTCCTCCTCCTCCTCCTCCTCCTCCTCCTGTCAGCGTCAAGTGTCTTTTCAGGGGGAATGAGAGCTCGCTGCATGCACATCCAGGCACCAAGGCCAAACAGCAGTGCTTTCAGAAATGCTCAAGGATATGAATGCAGCCCAGAGAGAGATTTTTTATGAGAACTAAGCAGACAATACAACATGTGTGCAGATTGTGGAAAGTACCCTGCAGTGATCACATTACATAAATATATGACGAATACAAGAGGCTCGCAAGTACTTGCCAGTATATGGGGTTTTACAGCTGTTGGTATACTGGGTGATTTTTAGGTAAATATACCTGCTTTTATTCTGAAGAAACCGTTGTACAACCGGAAGTGATAGCACGCACTTCCTGGCTTCCACACATGTATGAGCTGCTCGCAACTTCACTGATTTGTTCGTCATTTATTTTGTCTACCCGGTAAGATGCAGATCTGCAGTGTGTGCAGCGAACAGACGCCGAAGTACAGATGTCCAACCTGCAGCATAAGATAGTGAGTCACTTTAAATAAGTCTGCAAGCGCTAACGTCAGCTAACCTCCTGTTAGCTTCTGGCTTTGTTTGGCTCCGTTCTAAATGCTAGAAAATGTAAAAAACAAAATAACAACAACAAAAAAACACATTTGAGAATATAGAACAATAGTCAATGTAGTACTAACAATGTCCTGTTGTCCTGCTAACGTTAACTAAAACAATACATACCAAGTATAACAGCCTTTAAAAGCTAACGTTACATTACGGTCAACGTAGAATTGACACCGGTTCCCAGGACTTTAAAACATGGGGACGTTTGTAACTACAAATTAAAAAGAGATAAAAATACGAGCATATTTACAGACCATGCCATTGACTTAAAGTTACACGTGAAAACAATGTTGGGACACACATGGGACGGCAACCCACGTAGGTCAAAACGATTTGCGATTTGACGTCACACTCCCGAACGAGTTAGACATCACACCGCGAGATGTTTCGATTGTTTAATTAATCCATTGACTTTTATTGAGCACACACTTTGCTTATTAATACATGCAGTCCATATTTAGAATAATCAGTTAAAGGTGCAGTTTGTCCTGATCAGACTGTATATAAAGATACACAGTGATACTGATGTTACCATGACTCTATTAGTTATCATTATGATCTGCTAGATAAATAGTTTTTAATTATTGCTAACTGTTTTTTTCCTCTTACAGTTGTTCACTTGGCTGTTACAAAAGGCATAAAGGTAAATAAGCTTGATCTCAGTATCTTTAGACAAACAATGTGCAGACAACCTGTGTCACTCAGTGATCCACCATCTAAATTCTCTTTTTGTCCATAGACACTTGCCTTCCTGTTAAGCAGCCGACACCTATTGAACCTGAAGTCAAGGATGCTTTCAACACTGGTATGTTACTTCTCTCATCATCCATGTGATTCTTTTCCTTTGTGTGTCCATAAATCAAATCCTTTATAATAGGTGGGCAACGTAGACAAAGTTCACAGTGCAGTAAAAAAACATACAAAAAGTCACATTTTTGTTAAGACTGCTTGTCGTCTCGCTGTTTTTAGTTTTCAGTGAGATTTACCTCATTAATTTAGTCAGGGTGAACAATCACTGTAAATATAATAAAACCTAAATAAATACTACTGTGATTAAATATAGCTGTTAATGTCAAACAGCTTGTTACAAAGCTGTACATTTTCCTGTCCACATTACACTGATTTACATAGTGGGTAATATGTGGGAAATATTTACTGCTGTTACTTAAAGTGGTCAAAGTTAAGTTTATTTAATTGTGACTTCAGTAGATTAAGTCACAGCAAAGATGAACTGTGAGATCAAGTGATGGAAATACTAACAGGTCACAATTTTCTGATCCCGTGTGCTTCGCTGTCTTTGCAGAGCCGTGGACTGTTGAGGATCTTCTGCATGAGAATGACATCATTGACAAAGTGCCCCTGCAGAGGCTCCAGCTGTTAGGTATTCATCCAGCCTTACCTTTTGTCTGCTCTTAACCCTTCAGTTTTTCTCACTGTTGGCAGTAGCAGCACCTGTCAAATGTTCCTTCATCTGAAACTTGTATTTACTAATGACCACATAATACACATTTTAAAAAGTTTGGTTGGGTAATTATGTTTTCTTCTTTCTTCTACAGGTCAGTCAAAAGAGCTGAGGGATCTTCTTTGCAACCCCCATCTGAGACAGTTATTACGCTCCGTTGACAGTGCAGACAGCAAATATGATGCAATGAAGGCTGCCATGCAGGAGCCTCTGTTTGTTGAATTTTCAGATCAGTGTTTGAAAATTGTAGAAAATGAACCGAGATATTTTACATCCAATGAAGCTGATTTGTAAAACCATGCCTATCAGATGGTGCCTTTTTTTTTTTAAATATAAAATGCCTCACTGTGCTACGCATGTTGTGTAGTTACTGTCATTTTTGTTGATCTAAATTCCTGTGCCTTGTCATGCTACCGTTTGTATATAATGTTCAAATAAACGCTGGAAAGTTTTGAAACTGTATCAGTTCCTCTGTTAACACTAAGAGCTTTACAGTGTAGTTAACTGAAGTCACTTGTGAACTGGCTGACTACATGTAAAAAGTTTAGGTGAAAGGAAAACTACATTAAAAATGTTAGAACACTGACATTTATTTCAACAATACTGTCAGTTAAATATTAACAGAATTCAAGTTGTTGTGCATTGATCCCTCTGTACCACCGCTATAGTGGATTTCCAATTAAACTGTCATAATGACTCAGACACAAAGAGAATTTAAGCTGAAAAGGTTAAAAAAAAGGAATAATTAGCGAGCAAATGAAGATGTACTATATGCTGTCCCTGTAGATAATAGTGTTGGATCAGGAGCTAGGATGATAACCAGTGTTAAGTTACATTCATTATTTTCTAACATGATAGCAAAAAGATGTTTTGAATATTAAAATGATGAATATAATAAAACCTGTTGGGTATAATAACACAATTGTTCTTCCACAGAAAGCACTAGTGTAAAAAAAAAAAGACTTTGGTATGTTATACAGTACTAACATTGATGCTTTGGACTGCAGCAGATTAGAGTCCACATAGAAAGTGGTTCAGTCAAACTATCAGACGTGCATATTATAGCAACCCTTTATCAAGAAAAGAGCAGCAATTTGAATAAACCTGGGTTCATCCTTTCCCTGTTTCACATGAGTAATGTGTCAGTTACTGTGTGGTTTTAATGTGCAATATGTGCTTTACATGTGCAATATTTGCTTAATTAATCCCCCCCCACATAAATCACTCGGAATAAATGCAGGATGTTGGGCTGACATCTGCAATCATATGTGCATCTGAATCACGATGTTTTTCACACCCACAATAAATCTAAAGAAGCACATAAATAGTCACCCATAAATAAATACATATACTAACATCCCATTTGTGATTTGCGTGTAGATTTTAAGAAAGGCACAAGTCAAAGGCCCAATACTTTGATCAACAGTCGTTCCAAAGAGGCAACAATGGAGCAAAAACCTGCAGTCCTCTGTTTAAAGGTGCTGGGATTGTGCCATGAAATTCCAGGTCTCATTTTAAAAATTACTCTTTTCCTGCAATGACATCATCATGATCACAACTCAAGATCGTCTCTGCATTATCTAGATGTGGAAGGTCTGTGATTCTGCCATCTACTGAATACTGAATTAGTCCCTGCGGCCTGAAAGAGGATTTTTCATAAGAAGGTCTGGTTCACAGCAGACCGCATTATGAAATATTATTATGCGTTATTACTGAGATTAAGAGTGCAGCCTTTGCAGCTTTTTGCACCCTTGTATAACACAAAGTGAGATAAACTTTGGCATTCTTAAAAAAGTAAATTCAAGCTGTAAATGATCACTTTAAACACAAATACACTCATCTTAAATACCAGATGTGTTCCCTTTGTGTCAGATTATGGAAGAGCAGCTGCTTCACTGCAAAAGCACCTCTGTGCCCGATTGTACCCCATCTGTGTCCATGAAATCAGTCTTTAGTGTTCTGCTGAGAGGGAACTCTTACAAAGTTTTCTCTAGCAGGATCTCGTTGAACCCGGTCACATCGGTCTTCATGTCTGGCTGCCTGTCAGCATAGAGGAGTGGAGATCGCTGATAGTGCAGCTTTACAGATCCCTGAGTAGAAAAGAAAAATGGAATCTCAAATGACCAATCATAAAAATCATCCAGATGATGAAAACTTAAGATTTAACAGAACTTGCGTGGCTGTGCCCTCACCTTAGGTTGAGCCCGTATGGAGGCGAGCCCCTTTGTGTACTGGTTGGTCTCCACTTTATACTCCGCTCTCCTGGAGGGCAGGTTGAGGGAGGCCATCACAGACATCATCTTCTGGAAGCCTGTGGCTGTCAGAGACATGGTGATGGATGGAGCGGAGGCCAGAGCCAGGCCCATGGGCCATCCTCGAACCGTGACAGGCTCCTGGATGTTGGCGAGCTGCACAGAGCCCCGCTCCCTGATAACAGGGTTCAATGCTGATACGTCCTCTTCCACAAGGTCCTTCGCATCATCCAGTTCGGCTTCGGCCAAGGATTTCAATAGTGCCTGCCACAAGAAGGATACATTGATTTACCAGGCACAGCAGAACCTTTTATATTCCATGCATTCTTCTTTCTGGTCAAAACCGGGCCTACACTACCCACAATACAACTTAACCACTGACAGTTTGGTTGAAGATTTAAATGTGTTATGTTAGTAGCGGCCAATGTAGCCCCGTGCCACCAGCCTGAGGCAGAGATGAGTGAGCTACAGACGTCTGGTAAGTTCACACCCCCAGATTTCTTTCATTTTCAAACTTGTAGTCTTCTACAGCTGACCCAACTACAGTTGACTGATGTGACATCCCTTGAGGCAATTTTATCAGATTTTGCACAGCTCCCTATGGAACCAAAAAGGCTTTACATATGCAGTGGTACTTCACAACACCTGTAAACATACTTTGATGCACTAAATAAGACAACAATGAGCTGCATTATTAGGACCGATCTGAAATCTTTAATATATAAGAAAAAGCAAGAAGACATACAGTCAAGATACAATATTTGTTCTTTCCAAATCTCACCCTCCTATTCCTCCAGGTGCTCTGGATGACTGCAGCTGCTCTGTTCCATCTCTGCACCTTCCTCCTGACCAGCCAGGACCGCACCGCTGCAGGAGGTGTAAAACTCATTAACATATAACCACGCTATTCATTCTGTCAGCTCAATCTGTGCATTGTGGAAAGAAATGTTTATGTACTCCCACTGAGAAGGAAGTATCAAAAGAACATCTGTCATTAACAGTTTATCAGATGAGCTTCTATGTGTGGTAGCTTCTGTTGCTTCTGAAGGGATAAACAGTGTCAGCCTGCAAACATTGTTTACAGACTCTGCCAGCTGGTTTCTGTTGGTCAGACAGTGAGGTCACAGTCAACAGACTCACACAGTGGGAGCCAGGCCAGAGAGCTCTTCTGGTTCCACTCAGCGGTACCTGGCCAAGGCATTAAGAGTTTACCTGCTTGGATCAGAGTAGCAGCCTGCTGGCGGGCGTGGCGTCTGCGCTGTTGGTACCGCAGCCAGCAACACTGAATGGAAAAGGCACACCGAGACAGGATCTTCTTCCTCTGATCCTCCAGGAAATCTAACTGTGAGACAACAGCCAGGCAGGTCAGTACTCCCAAAAAGACCAGAGCCCTGATAAGGCCTGATTAGTAACTTCAGTTAAGTACAATATGACCAGATTTAAATCATGTGCGAGGATGCCGGTGTATTTAAAGACTGACCATCGACTGGGTGAGAAAAACTTTAGTCCTTCCGCAGTGAACCCATGAGTTGTGTTTGTCACTGTCAAGGTCAAACGCCTTATGTAACACGACACTCAGGAGCTTCTCCACCTCTGGCCGAAGAATCCTTTCGCTGTCAGCCTCCACATCTAAGACAGAGAGGAATTGGAGTGAAGCTCTAAAGACATAATTCAAGTAAAGGCAGAGCAGTTTTACCACATAGTGTTTGTTTGAAAGCATGGCAGTCAGGTGAGGTTCAGTGGGTAAGCATGAGAGCACAGATAAATCCATTACAATCAACAGCACAGTTTCCACAGACATTGATATGATTACTGCAAATTCAATGTCTCTTTAAAACCTGATTATATATGGCAGAATTCAGGATTAGTGAGCAGGATCCTTGAACACTTGTATAAGACTAAGAGTTTACTGCCATGCTAGCAGCTCTATGAGGCCGTCTTAAGGCACCCTGCTGCTTCGGACCAAATGCTAAAGTCAGCAGCTAAACTGCTCACAATGACAAAATTAACATGATTATGTTTTTGTCATTTTGTCATTTTACAACACCAAGTACACCAAAGTCAGATTCATCCTCTGAGGACCATGAATGTCTACAAAATTTCAGAGCAATCCATCCAGTAGTTGTTGACATATTCCAGTCTGGACCAAAGTGGCGGACGGGCCGACCAACCGACAGACGGACCAACATTGTCATACATAGAGCCGCTAGCAGCTGAACAGTGGGTTAAGATGAGGCGTGATATGATCAAGAATTAGTAGAGAAACACGAAACAACATGCAAAGCAAGCTCTGATAGTCAGAGGTCATGCATTTACCTGGAAAGTTCATAAGAAGTTGCGAATTTTGTTAGAAACTCTTGTTTTTATACATCAAATGGAAAAGTCCCAAGAAGAGTAGAGAACTGAGCATCAAATTTGATAAGAAGGCTAATGAAGGAAAAGTAGAATAAACCAGCAGACCTAAAGAGAGGAAATAAAATCACTCTTTGTCCACAGTAAACTAAAATTTTAAATTTACTTTAAGTGGATCCCACAACAAACTGTACTTACCAACGCAACAACTCCCTGACATGGAATTTGAATATTTTTCAATCAGTCCATAACGTTGCATGAAGTCTTTGAAAGGAATTCTATAAAACAGAAATGACAAGTCAACCTTAAGTCCAAGAGAAAGAAATCAATACATTAAGATTAAAAGTAGACAAAAAAGGAAAAATGTCTCACCTTATTGGAAAGCCAGCAGCACTAATATGAATAGTCTCCACAATCCCACAGGCCTCCAACTGCATGATAACCTGGCAGCAGACAGGAAAGACCCGTTAAAAACCTTTCCTTTAGTGACGACAGAAAGAATTGTGGTACTGCTGAAGAGGAGGACAGCAGAACATCTACCTCCTCCTTCTGGAAGGTCAGCGGCTTGCAGTCTGGGTTCGGTTTGATGCAGCGAGTGTAGTGAGGAGTTGTGGTGTGGAGGATCTTCATCAGGCTCTCCAGAGAGTTCTACAATCAGACATTAACATCATCAGTGCCTTGACTTAACCCTCCCAGGAGGAGCTCTGCAGCCCCCGCTAATAAAGGCTTTAGTTGATTCCCACCTTGAACTTGGAGACCACAGTGACTTTATTGAGGCCCTTGTTAGTTGGGTTCTCAGTTTCCTTGTCAGTGAAGATCTGGTGAAGCAGGGGGTTGTCAGACTTCTGAAGCAGGCTGATGAGCTCTGGTGGCACTGGGTCCTGAAAAACCAAATCCAGTAGGAGATGAGATTGATTGCCAACTTTCTGAACACAATTTAAAAGCTTTCATTACATACCTTGTTCTTCTCCACCATGCCCTGTATCTGGTAGTTGACTTTGCCAGCGTAATGGGCCACAGTGAAGTGTGGCTCCTTGCTGAACTTGTCCCAGCTGATGTTGGCGTTACCACAGAGCTCTTTCTCCAAACGAGTTCTGAATGTCTTTGTGTCTGAGACTCGATTAAGACGACTCTCCTATAGGACAGGTATGTAAAAAGTTGTAAACATGCACTTCATAATAAATCAGTGTACATATTAAACAATAAAATGCTTGCTTGTTTTGCTTTTGTATTGTTATGGTTGTGTAAGTTATACAAGCTGTATATTGTCTTTGTTATTTTTAGCATTAAAAAATGAGTATAATAATTAATAATAAAAAAAAAAACCTATTACCTCATTAAGAAGAGAAAACACACTGACAGGGCTTCCCTCTATAAGATCCAGACAGCTCTGGTTGTCTTGGTATTTGACAAAGGACCACTGCAACCCCTCTGAAACATATTCCTCCTGGTAGAAGCACAGATAGTACAAAATACAAAAGGTCTGTTTTTGATCCACACAGATTCTGACTGAAGAAGCATCCTGAATGTCGGAGGCCTGGATATCGCCACATTAAGCAGGTTACCACAGAAACTGCTGAGATCTCTGAATGAAAACGGAAAAGTGATGGACGCTACCTGCTGAGCTCGGAGATAATGGGCCACAAAGTGCTGCTGCAGTTTCTCATTGGCGTAGTTGATGCACAGCTGCTCCAGGTTATTGATGTGGAAGCACTCGAAGCCGTACACATCTAGAACTCCTGGAGATCACAGGGAGGAGAGGACTGTGTGAGCTAATGAAAAGAAACTGGGGCAAAAATACAAACGTGTATTCAATGACATAAGAGACAATAATGCTCTTACCTATGAAGTTGCACCACATGGATTCGTCTGCACATATGCTGTTGTTGATGAATGTTACCAGCCATTCAAATAATCTGTTGGAAAAAAGTGACACACTTACTACAAATATAAACCAACAGACATATCTTCCTCATTGTTTACTGTAAACAAAAAAACAAAGGGGTTTCACATTTTATTGTTTGGTGGAAAGAAGTGTTTGGGACAAAATCAAACTGTGCAAGTGCATAACCAGCACTTTCCACATAGCATTATCACATTCTGCTGTGTTTTGTGATGATCAAACCCTCATTCTTACTGGGCGTAGATGACCTTGGCCAGGCAGTCTCTCCTCATGCTGCACTCGGCCTGGGGACAGGGCTTGAGCACACTCTGCTTCCCCGCCTTTAACGTCCTCACTCTTAAACACGTCTGAAGCTCCTCGGCAGGGACACACAGCAGCTCAGCAGCTCTCTGTGAAAAGTCTAAAGCACAGGCAGGAGTTATCTACTGTACATATTCATGTTTGTTGATAGTTATTGTCAGGGAGCAGGGAGATCTTTCAAGATAAATCCCTGAGCATCATATTATTTGTGTTTATATCAGTCTTAAGTTTCTAAACAATGGACATTTAAAGCACTCAGTAACTGGAAGGAATTGATAAGATGATAGATTTAATATCTTAAACATAATCACATCCAATACCTTTGGATTGTTCATCTAGGTTACAAAGTTGTGATTCATCCGCTGAAGAGGAGAAATTCACGTTCCCCAACTGCAGAATCCCTGCTAATATCTGTAATGCATTACAACAAACGTAGACATTTAATTCTATGCTTGCAGAGAGAGAAAGATCCAATGCACAAAAATACAATGATTAGCATTTAGCATTTACAAGCAGTGTATACACATTTAATAAACAGTTTATATAACACATCCTAATGCAGTTGTAAGCAGATATAAGGTATTATTAAGGTATTTGTTAATAATATATGATAATAAATGCTAATGTAGTAAAACACAGTTATAATAATATAATGTATGTCTTTATAGGAGAAGCTATAACATTTATGTTGATAAATATAAAAACAAATGTGATAACAAACTATACATTAATAAACACGTCAGTATATGTACTTATAACTACATTATAGTGTAACTAGTTATTAAATGTTTATAAATGCTAAAGAGAGGGGAAAAAGTCAAAAGTTACCAATGTTGAACACCTTACCCTGAATATTTGCCTCTGTCTTTCTGCATTAATGCCCAGATTACCCATTGCCTCGACAGTCTCATGGAAACAATCCTCTGAAACATTAAATGAACAGAGAAGTTACATATGAGAAGCACAAACTTTTATAGAATAAAAAACAACAAAATGCCTTAATAAACGTGAAAAATAAAGACCAACCCTCAAGTGTTTTTTCAGATTTTGGCAGCCACGTAAAAGGTTGGCCACGTGGCATCTTCCACTCTTTCCTCTGCTCGTCTGTGGCCCCTTTCATCATCTGAAAAACAGTATGCTCTCAGTATTTCCATCTGAGTTACATGTGAATGTGTTCATATTGAACTACAACACCAGAGGAGCACACCAGGTTTGGTGCAGCCCTGTTACTTCACCTGGTAAAAGATGTGGAAGTTCCTCTCATTATCCGGTAGGCAGGCCACCCTGGTCTTCTCCAGCAAATATGTCTGCACCGACGCCCCCACTAACAGCTGACACCTTCATGTGAAAAATAACATGTTGAACAGACACAAGTGACCAACAACTTATACTACAGTACATACATAAAGTGCTGCAGGCTCAGTACCTGTCTAGCTGAAGCTGGATGTACTTTCCAAAGCGACTGCTGTTGTTGTTCCGTAGCGTACAGGCGTTACCTACGTGGAGGGAAAGAGCTGGCTGAGTGACTGTGTGCAATGGTTATTTTCACATTAACGAGACACCAGCAATCACTTGTCTTACCGAAAGCTTCCATGATGGGGTTGGAGTCCAGCACCCTCCTCTCTATCCTCTCCACCGTGTTCTGACTCTTCACCACGGAGGAGGAGGCCGCCACAGTGGCGTAGTATTTCATCAGGCATCGAGATGTCCATGTCTATAAAGATACAAATCACTGGTCCACTAAAGATTGTTTCTGCTAATCATGGGACCCAATTTACAGAGATCACCTATGTTTAAGGCTGCCACTATGGATTATTCTCTTTACTGATCACTTTAAAGATTATTTTTATGACTAGATGTTTATTCTAAAAATGTCAGAATGAGCCAGCCCGTAGATCTTCAATATTCAAAGCAGAAAATCCTCACATTTCAACAAACTAATTAATAATAACTCTACAAAAAGATAAATTAATTACAAACTACTATGAAATGATTTCTTTAAATTATTTATTTGGTTTGACCAACAAACACACTTGGTTAAACTGTGATAACAGACAAACACTTCAGAAAGTGCAGCCCACTCTGTGGCACTGTAAAAAAGAACCTCTGAACCCCTGATTGATGTTGTTGTTGGTTATGTTTATTCTTTGTGTTGGCTTACCTTTCCTGCACCACTCTCACCGCTGACCACCAAGGATTGGTTCACTGGCTCCAGCTGGCCCCGAACATTCCTGTATGCTTCTTCCGCCACAATAAAGATATGTGGTTTGAACTCCTGTTGACAAAAATATACAGACCTCTTAAGATGCTGGTCATTCCTAACTGCAGGCAGAGCTGTTAGTGCCTTCAAGAGGTTCCAGAGTTTAAGCTTTGAAGCCGTTCTTTACAAAAGCAGGCAGATGAGGAACTGGAGGATTTATGTTTGAAGTTACCACAAAACAGCACGGTTGATGTTTTTCGCACTTTAGAACTAAACATCACATATACTGATGAAATACTGATCGTTGTTGACTTGTTGACACTTTGGTGGTACCAGTTGGGTCACTTTTAAAGGTTAGTGCTTAATCTGGCATGTTCAGGGAACGGCTCTTTGAAAAAGTCAAGACAACTCAAACTCTTAGAGTTAGTGGAAATACAGTGAGACGCAGCTGTGACTTTGTACCTGGGGCTGAGGAGCGCAGTGATACTCCTTCATCACATCCAGAGAGTAGAGGTGTGGGATTGGCTGGAAGGGGTTAAGAGCAACTAAGGTGCAGCCGGCATGGGTGTAAAACACCTTCACACTGTACCTGGCCTGCAGGCATTTCAGCACTACCGGAGGAAAACATTAAATATCATTAGACATTAACAGGCAAGGCAATATTTTACAGATTTTACAGAGGCAGGAACACAAGACACCAGAGAAGAGAGCAGCATTACAATGGCAAAGATATATTTGTTTATAATAAAATTCTTTGACTATATTAAATAACATGGTCCATAGAACAGATGCAGTATAATCAATCCATGGGCTTGAAAAGAAAATATCCTACACCAATTCCATATTGTTATCCTGACCTCTGCTGTTAATGAGCTGTACTGTTCTGTTTTGTCCCCACATGCTGAATCTAAAACCACCTTGAAATATAAACTAAAACCTTTTACAGAGTATCAATGACAAACACTTTTCTTACATAATGCAAGTAAAAATGACTGATGATAAATGTTGCACATCGACACAATAAAGTCTTATGCTCAATATTTATCTACTGTACTAGTGCACTCTACTACTGTAGAGAAGCTGAGAACTGCCTTAGTTACTACTAACTTTTTTTTGAGCTGTTATCGAAATCACAAGTTAATTATTACAAAAAAACTGAATATTCCTCTTATTACTTATAATGTTTATCAGAGATCAGAGTAGGGATGTCCTGATCCGATCCGAGTCATTTAATATTGAGTATCTACCGATACCGAGTCCTGATCCAATGTTTCTTTGGATAATACAGGTGCACAGCACACACTTCATTCAGGTGCATTGAAGTTATTAAAATCAATCCAATGTATATGCTTAACAATTAAATAGCTCTACAATGCATTGAGAAAAATATGAACGCATTGTAGCTGTTGCTTAATGTTTACTTATCATTCTTTTTACACAATAAACTATAAAAACACTGTAATCTTTTTGCTCTTGTTGCAGTCTGGAGGGAGTTTCTCTCTCCAGTGTTTGTTGCTTTGGTGCAGCCTTATCCTGAATGAACTGTCTGTATTCTGCCTAATTCCTCTAACTGGCTTTTTGTACGCAAAGCTTTTGTTGCACTTGAATGTGGTTGTATTGGTTCTCTACAGCTGTCTGTCCTCTGAGCAGAGGCGGCCCCGCCCGCAGCGAAACTCCGAAGTGGAGAGGAAGACAGCAGAGAGAGTTAGCAATGGCTGCACGGTGCATGAAAGCTTTGTGAGAAAAAACAGCTGTGTGACAGCAAAAGATCAGATCGGGACAATAAAGCTCAATATAGTCGATACCGATCAGTTAACAAATGCCTTCATCACTGAGATCGGATCTGTACATCCCTAATCAGGAGTGCAATAGATGGAGTATTATAGATGTAGCAGTGGTTCAATATAATGGACAGTGCATGGAGGAATGACATGCAACATGCCAGTTAATATTTATCTTCATACGCCAGGTACAACTGCACGAAAAGAGTCTGAACACTGCAGGGATCTCTGATCTTTTAATAAATCTCAGCCTCTCCTGATATGTTTTGTCAGTGCTGCATCACGTTGCATAGAATGTAATAACTTAAATTAACTCTCAGATGTACATTCTGGTAAAAAACTCTTTTTTCTCAAGACTGAAATGAAATGAGGCAGACACTTATTTGTAAGTTCTTAGCGATTATTCCGTGATCACGAGAAAACAAAAGTCTTTTGTGATAAATGATCTTGTTTTCTTGAGAAATCTGCCTTTTGTTTTCACGAACACGTGTTATGTCGTTATCTCACGATCACGAGATAATAAATTAACTCGTGATCTCGAGATAACGGCATTAAATGCAAGTACGGCCGTTATCGGCTTCTGTATAAATGTATAAGGAATACAAGAATCACTTTTTGGGAGGCATGTGTCTGCAGGTAAAGAAAACCATGCCCTTGGTCCCCTATCACTGTGTTAACTGCAGCTTTTTGGTAGCGCAGCAATCATTCATGCTTGCATTTATTTGATCATGCCTGCAGATTTTATCCTGACGTGGTTAAATAATACCCAGCAAATACTGAGACCCAAGGTGACATGAGCTGGAAAACATTGCGTCACACTGGCTGTGTATTTGTAAATAAAGACAAAGTTTATGCAACATATCAAACACTCACTGACATTCAGCAGTAGTGTTTTCAAGATTCATGCCATCATAATAAGTGGAAGGGGTGCTTTGTTGATCAAACCTATCCAAAATGTATAACAGGTGAACTTACTGAAACGCCACTAAGCTAGAACAAGCCTCATTACACATCATGTTTTATCATCCAGACTCTGAGGCCCCAGGGACATTACAGCCCTGTTTGTTACCTGTTGTTGGGGTCACTGGGTTGACTTTGGTGAGGTCGTCATAAGTGTGAAGTTGGTCTTCATCAGTGAGGAAGGCCTGAATTTCTCCCTCCAGCGAGTCATTCGGGGACGGGTGAGGAGAATGGACTCTCTGGACGAATCCTTTCACCTATGTGAAAGGCAAAATGTGAGGCAGACACCACACACAGCAAGGATATTGGGTGTAAACTGTAAACTGTCGAGTCAACACCGATGGGTGGAAAGGAGAGTAAAAATGAGGAATGCATTGTAGATAGAAAAGTGTGAGAGGAGGCTTATGTTTTTATGCATATTGTATCTGTAATTCTCACAATTAACATACACACAGCTTTCCCAGAGCCAGAAACTAGCTGCTCCCAAACCCCGATGTCATCATGACGTCAAGTCTGATCATGCCAATTTTCAGCAGGTTTAGATACAAGACAAAGGTCAAAATGAGGAGACATTTACTAGCTCCAGACTCATGAAAATACACCAAACAGGCTCTTATTCTATGCATCAAAATGTCACATTCAGAGGGTCCATACAATCTGTCAAACTTCCCTGAGCTTTGAAGCACCTACAACATGTTCTTGCCTTTGAGAAAGCTGTCAAACATTTACAAATCAAGTATTAATTCTCACCTCACGTGCTATTTTCACTGACACCACAGTTTATCTTAGAAGCCTAAAACAGACCCCAGTCTCACACGGCCAGTTGCTCCCCCGTGTATTTGTACAGGAGCACTACAATACTCAAACTGTATGTAATTCATTCAGCCACAATCACTTCAGACTCACAAATGCAAGTCTGCTTCATCCTGCCAATATCACGTGGCCTGGACTGTCATCAGTCTGAGGTACTAAATCTGTGCTGACAGCATTAATCCAATGGCAGGTAGCCTTCATCCCATCATTCTGTAAATAGTCTTAATGACATGACTACACTACAATTAACAGACTTAAGTTATAGCAGTATTTTATATTATAATTTTATACTACTGTAGGTGCAAAAAGCATATACACCTAGATAATGGTCGAGGTGATTTCTTCAGTTCTGTGGCACATGTCTGTCACCTCGTCCATGTCTGCTGTAGTCAAACCAAACCCCATTCATAAATCTGGCGATTTAGTGAATGTTGTTATATGTAGTGACAAACTGGCAACCCCCCCATTTTAAAGCCTCATCTACACATTTTCAGCCACCGATAGAGACACAAAACGTTACAGCAGTGTGTGTGTCTGTGTAAACCATGTCTTTATGCTGTAGGTCAATAAAATAACGACGATTTAGAGCACATTTAGAAGTGGCCCAGGACAGTTTGACAGTCTTCAGTCACGTTGCTCAGTGAGTTATTGTTACCTTTTCTCAAGCAAGGTAGAAACACTATATACGCCGATATTTAACTAAGTTTGTCGTAATTTACTCCATGCATTGTTTTCATCTGGCGCATTAAACGTTGGATTACGGTGACGTTATTCACAGGTAGCCTGCGTTTACAAACGTTACAATACAAACCAACCAATCAAAGCTGAGAACCGGTAACTTACAGATCGATAAATTTACCTCAGGTCAAGGGAAACTTGTCATTAACTTTTACATTTTATAAACCAAAAAGGGAAACGTCTAAACCACCAGTTGAGTTGAATTGTGGACGGGTGTTCCCCTGTGTCCTAACTTACCGTCCCCCCTCCATTTCTGAATCTTGCTCCAACGTTACGTCGGGTGTCCGCAGAACTCATTGATTTCACCGATAAAAACGAGTCTAAAAACTATCCCCAAACACTTTTGTGAGCACTGCCTGAATCCTTCTTGAGCTGAGTTGTGGTTATTCTCCTCTACAGTCCTGAACCTCAATATTTTCCATTGCTGTAAGAAATTCCTCAAGGACAACTTCCCGTGCCCGCTGTCTTTCCGACTGCCTCCCAAACTCCCGAACCGCACACTTATTCCCGCCCTCTCGCTGACGCTTCATGGGTCCAGCTGTTCCCCTGGAAGTATTGGTACTTCGGAACCTAATAGGTTAAGGACGGGTTTCTTAATGCTAGTTAACTGGACTTAAAATGAGGACTTCATATTTATCAATTTATATCAAATCTTCCTAAAAGTCGAGAACTTTAATTGTCATCTTGCATGTATCACTTGTCTGAAATAGATACTAAGCAGGAGCTGTTTGACCGTCGTATCCATGGTTAGTTTATACTAAGTTTAGAACTAATACTATTTTTCTGAATATTTTATTTAACATGCTAGAAACTCAAGTCCCTGTTAGGTTAGGAGTTCCCAGAAATCCGAGCTGTTGTGAATGCGGCATGGGGCCGAACACGGAAGTAAGCGCAGCAGCTCTCCTGCAGATGTAGCATCATGGTTGAGACTTCAGGGAAGTGTAAATAAAAATGCTGTAGGACAGGTATTAATGCGAGCCTGCAGTTCCAGAGCCTAACGACAAACCCGTGGTAAGTACCGATAACTAGACACAAAGCTAAGTTATTAAATGTCTTAGTGTAAAATAGGGAACTGACGTTAAGAGGACCTCGCTCGTGGTGAGTGCTAGTGAAATAATGTGTTAGGAAAGTGAACATCCATCATGAAGGGCAGTTTATAATGTTATTCAGAACAGATGAGCCACCGCCAACGAACAAGTACTGCTTTGGCTGAAATGTCTCCTAAATGTTCCATTTTCCAGTGTCTGTTGAGCCTATTCATATTTATGTGTCTCTAAATACAGTCATGATTCTCTCATGTAGTAAAAAATGAATCCTAATGTTTGCAGGCCATGTCTCAGAGGGAACTGAAGGAGGCGTTTGTGAGTAATCTCAATGGGACCAGTCTGCAGGAGGTGGCGCTGGGCTCATTTCTCACCCCACTGTGCCTCATCAACAGAGGGCTGATTCTGATCCTCTACCACCAGGCCAAAGGGACTCTGCCAGTGCCACTTCCACTGATCTGTCACCTGCTTCTGGACTTCTCTCTGCTTGTCCTCCCCCTCGTCCTGTCATGCACCGTTCTGAGCGGCGTTCTCCACCAGGTCATCATGAGCCTGACCTTTGTTTCGGCCTGTGTGTTTTGCTATATCTACCGTACCAACAACCATCCTCCTGCTCGGCACCCAAGGGACACCGTCAGCACCTTCCTTCAGAGTCACGTTAAATTCAACCAGGTTCCCTTTGTGACTGTCTTCCGAGTGTTTGTAAATGTGAAAACAGCCATCAGCATTCTTGCCGTAGACTTTAGTGTCTTCCCAAGGCGGTATGCTAAAACAGAGACCTATGGGACAGGGGTGATGGACTTTGGGGTTGGAGCGTATGTCTTTGCAAATGCCCTCGTCTGTCCAGAGGCCCGGGGGAAGAACATCTCAGGATCCAGGATGACTTACATCACAAAGCAGCTCCTGTCTGTCTGGCCCCTCGTAGTTCTTGGTATGGTAAGGCTGGTGAGCGTCAAAATGACCGGCTACCATGAGCATATGACAGAATATGGCGTCCACTGGAATTTCTTCTTCACGCTAGCCATCGTCAGAGTTGTGGCTTCTATGGTTTTGGCTGTTTTGCCAGTCAGTCAGTCGTGGGTAGTTGCCCTTCTGATCAGTGGATTGTATCAGTTCACTCTGGAGAAATCGGGGCTGAAGGCCTTCCTTATCCACAACAATGACAGAGAAAAGGACTTTCTGCATGCTAACAAGGAGGGCATATTCTCTGTGGTGGGTTACGTAGCCATTTACATGGCAGGAGTTCAGGTGGGACTCTATCTGATGCAGCCTAGATCCCAGGTTAGACAGTGGCTCAAAGTACTTTTTAACCTCTTGTTGGGAAGTTCTGTCCTGTACACTGCTCTGTACACATGTCAGACACTTGTGGAGCCAGTGTCTCGCCGCTTAGCTAATTTACCTTTCTGCCTGTGGAGTGTTGCTCAGTCTTTGTTCTTTATGACCTGCCTTGGTGTAGCTGATATGGCTTTACTGTTTTGCAAAAGGACATCAGGCTGTCACTTTGTACCCTCATCGTGGAATTTGTGTAAAAAACAATCGGACTCAGTCTCTGACAAAAGTGAGGGTGAAATAGAAAGACGCTGCCTCGTTCAAGCTGTCAGCAGGAATCAGTTGTTATTCTTCTTGCTTGCAAATTTGATGACAGGATTGACCAACTCCATAGTGGACACACTTAGTTGTAGCAGTTTATCTGCCGTGTGTGTTTTGCTGTCGTACATGTTCATGAATTCCTTGGTAATATATGTTTTACATCTGTGTGATATTACAGTAAAATTCTGGTAAGATTACATTTGTAAAACAAATGGTTCATTTGTGTATTCTGAAGACTTTTGTTGCCTGGAGTGACATTGAAATTTGGGGAAATTAAAAACACTGGAAAGAGTTGATGTTATAAGAAGATGTGATCTGTAATGCTGAAGATACCTTTGTACATGATTTGTTTATACATTGTTACATTACATTGATTTACTGGGATTTTTATTTGGTTAGCAGAAAATCAGAGCTTTTCATAAAAGGAAAACTGGCATTTTAAATGATGCAGCAACTGAATATTGCATTTAATGTGAACTGGAATGCTTTTACTCTTCTGTAATCTGTACACATCTTTCTTGTTTGTTACTACAGTGCAGCGCAACCAAAAATAAGTGCATGGATTAAAATATACTACAGCAACATATGTACATAAAAGTGATACAAAGGGAACAGGAAAATAAAAAAATCAGAAATCCATACGGCTCACTCAATTCTTCTCAAACAAACTGGATTGTATGAATGGACATTGTCTCCTTCTCAACATAAAGCATGTGGTGAACTGCGCCCCCTGGAGGACACACGCACTACAACGTCAGCTACTACGTGCAGAGGGCAAAGGTCAAATCAGTAATGAAGATTCCGCCACCGTAGCAGACTCACTCACTGTCGCACTTGTTTATTTTTTTTTAAGGGGAACTTCATTAGCGGGTAAGTAAACGCTCACTGGGTTTACTTCGATGTGCTCTGATCTCGTCAAGGCGAGCGGTTGTTGTCGGTGTTTTAGCCGCCGGTAACGGAAGAGGAGCTGTAAAAGTGACAGTCGCTAAGTAGCGCTCAGCCAGAGGAACTTATTGGCCGTGTGTTCGAGGTTGCTAACGTTAGCTTCATGGGACAGCGACGGTAACCAGTGAGTTAGCCGAGTTTGCAGACATCGACAGGGCGTGAACAAACGACACCGAGGCTGCAACGTGTGTATTATTAGTTAACGCGTTGTAAAACGTCCGTGTGTATGAGAATATTGCGCTTATAATCGACTCACCGGCTTCCTCAATTTCCACTATCGTACTGGCAAATGGAGGTAGCTAGCAGGCTAACGTTACCTGGCTCGCCGCAGGTTACTGCTTTCTCTCCTGACTAGCAGATGGACGTCAGCGTGATTAAACCCGTCTTCATAACGTCAACAAGTTTAGCAAAAAAAACAAAAACCAGCTGTTACAAAGTAAAACATCAGACACGTTTCCCAGGATGCCTCGCTAAGTTAGCTGGTTAAATCTGGGTCAATACGAATCTGTTTGTACTTCAGCTGAGTTAGTGAGGTTAGATCACAGGTTGTCAACGGCAGTGGGCATTGTGTACAGTGTTTTAGTGTCAGATACTGTAGATGTGTACGGTAGCCTTTATTTCAGTGACAAGGTGATGTTGTAGCTAGCCCGCAATGACCTGCAGTAGGTTAGCATTAGCTCGGTGTAGCCTGCTGATGTCCACGGTGGTCAGTCGGTCTCTAGTCGGTCTCTAG